GGTGCTTTACAATGTGCATAGGCTTAAGAAAGAAAGAGTGTGTGTATAGACAGTCATAGAAAGAAATAGTTTAAAAAATAATAAAGTCTTTAAAGAGAGTAAAAGTAATAGAAAAGAAAAGAGCCACAGAAGATGGGAAACACACAGGGAGTCTGGGTTATACGTAGTATTGTGTTGATTTTGAATGCTGATGAGCAAAAGACAGCTGTTGACAGACATGGGATTGTGAGCAGGACTGCTAAACTGAACCAACCTAGATACTTTAGGGCTATCTTAACTTTAAAAAAGAAGTCAAAAATACATTTTTCAAAGGGAAGTTAAAAATGCTTTGGAGAAGAGGGTTTTTTTTAATTATTTTTATTTTTATTTATTTTTTGCTTTTCTTCCCACAGGAGACAAGAAGCTCTGGGTCCCTTCAGGAATAATATGGATCCGGTTTGATCAAAGGAGACCTCCTGAATCTTGATAGGTGATATAGATCAACAAAGGTAATAGCTGGTCTTCCCAGGACTTGGTCATTATCTCAGATTTTCTCAGGGACACCTAAAGATGTCTTTGCCCACAGACAACAGAATGCAGTTTGAAGAACATGATGCCCACCTTCCCAAGGAGGGTGTGGGAGGCTTTTATTTATTTGGTGGCTTATAAATGTGTGTTATCATTTAGGGAAATATAGGAATTTGGGATAAAAGGCAGCTATTAATCTCAAATATTTTGCATTGGCATGGATTTTGGTATATGGGTACACATTTAAAGTTAATTTTGTTACATTGTATATATGCTTCTACTCTATTGTGCTTATGCGGCTCATTTAAAAATGCAATAATTAAGAAATGAGGTTAGTAGTTAATCTATAATAATCAAACTTGTAGTCACATTACATATGTTTTCAAGGTTAAATAGGTATATTTTAGACAGATAAATGATTTTCTTTTTCCTTTGTTGTTGTCCAGGCACCCATGTCTATTATATTCATAGGAGGTATTTTGTGTAACAGCAATTTCAGGGATTTTTTTAAGCTTAAAGACCTTTTGTTTATTTTAGTCATTTTCAATTTAATTTAATTAATTTATTTTAGCTTTTTAATACAGGATTTCTCTGTGTAGCCCTGACTGTCCTGGAACTCACTCTGTAGAACAGGCTGACCTCAAACTCAGAAATCTGCCTGCCTCTGCCTCCTGACATGTACCATTATGTCTGACCACACATTTAAGTTTTTTTTTATTGTTTTTCAGATAAATGATTTTCAAACACTTCAACAACCTACAAAATATGGCCTTTAAGATGTTTAATAAGCTAAGGTTTTTCATGATGAGACACATCTGCTTCTGGCAGCACCAATTTACTTCAGAGAAGTTTGCTTTCTTTGTGGCAAGATTAGCCATTTGGGTAAGAAACTGCATTTGCCTTGACTGCTTGATAGTATGTGATATAAACTGGACATGCAGGATCCACATGAAAATGACTTCTGAACTTTGTCAAAACAAGGTGGGATGATCCTTCAGGGTTCCTGCTTTATGGAAGAGTCTGCAGACATTCTACAGAGCACAGAGGAAAGCGACTGATGAATTTTGCCAATACAGGGCAGGTCAGCCCTTCAAATTTCCTGCTTCACTGTAAAATCTGTCAGATACTCTAAACCTTATAAAGGTGGATGTCCCAACATTGCAGAGAAACTTTGGGTGACTATCCAGGCAACTAGATTTCTCTATTGTTAGGTAATATTAATTCCTTCTGGGGTCTTTGATGGAGTTAAAGACTAAATAATTAGAGTTATACTTATCCTTGGTTATGATAGAAAGTAAATTAGGTATACAACTTTAGAATCACTAAGATAAGATAAGATAAGATAGGCAGTGAAGTATTTTCTCTGAATTTGAATAATACAAATGGACTGAATATGGTAAATGTAATTCTTATTTTATAACATTTTTGTTGTATATAGTTTTACGTGCTAAAATTAAAACTTTTTATTTTTATTTACACAAAATGGGAACAGACCAGCAATGAACATGGATAAGCAAGTATCTCTGTAATAGGATACAGAGATATGCCCTTTGTGTATTTGACCAGAGTGCTATAGCTGGAAATTATGGTAAGTCGATTTTCACCTTTTTTAATTTTTTTTTATTTTTTTATTTTTTAGAAAAGGATTCTCTGTGTCACAGTCCTGGATGTCTTGATTCACAGACATCTGCCCACTTCTGCCTCCTGAATACTGGGATTAAAGATATCCACCACCATGCCCCTCAGCAATTTTCAGATTCTTGAGGCACTCTTTACATTGATTTCTGATTTCCATAGTGGCTGTACCAGTTTGCACTCCTACCAGCAATGAATATGTATTCCCCTTTCTCTGCCTCCTTGCCAGCTCGGCCTGTAATTTGCTTTAATCTTGGCCATTCTAACTGGGGTGAAGTGCAATAATAAAATAGTATAATTTACATTTCCCTGGTGGTAAAAGCTATTGAGCACTTTAAAAAGGTTTCATATGTATTTGCATTTCTTTTTAGAATTTTCTGTTCAGTTCTATAGCCCATTTTTAATTGAATTATTTATTTTATTAATGTTTTGTTTTTGAAAGTTTTGTTTTTGTTTTGGTATATTGTAGGCACTAATTTTCTGTGGGATGAATAGCAAGGTATATCTTTGGTCATAAAAAGTAACTAAAAAATTCAGTTATTTTTAAGCCGGGCGGTAGTGGCGCACGCCTTTAATCCCAGCACTCGGGAGGCAGAGGCAGGCAGATCTCTGTGAGTTCGAGACCAGCCTGGTCTACAGAGCTAGTTCCAGGACAGGCTCCAAAGCCACAGAGAAACCCTGTCTCGAAAAACCAAAAAAAAAAAAAAATCAGTTACTTTTTTTATTGAGAAAAGGAGAAGAAAAAAAAAACAAGTTTCCACCTCCTCCCAGCCTCCCATTTCCCTCCCCCTCCTCCCACTCTTCTCCCCCTCCTCCCACCCTTCTCCCCCTCCTCCCACCCTTCTCCCCCTCCCCCCACTCCTTTCCCCTCCCTCTCCAGTCCAAAGAGCCATCAGGGTTTTCTGCCCTGTGGTAAGTCCTAGGTCCTCCCTCCTCCGTCCATATCTAGGAAGGTGAACATCCAAACTGGCTAGGCTCCCACAAAGCCAGCACATTAAGCAGGATCAAAAGTTTTCAAGAAATCTTAACTAAAGTGCTTTTAATCCAGTAGAAAATAATGTGCCCAGTTAAGCGGGAGTTGATATGCTCTAGGTACATTGGATTTTTGTATGAATTACCGAAGACTGTATAATAAAAAAAAGCATTTATTTTAAACTCATCTATAATTTAGGAGTCTCAGGAACTTATGTGGGATTCTTGTCATTGAATGTCTTATTGTCAGTATATGTCATTGCTGTATGTAAGTTATAACATTAGAGAATCTTTTAAACACCTGTCCAACGACTGGCAACAATGGGGCTAGGAAAGGATTAGAAAACAAAAGTCTATAAGTAGTCAAAGAATCAAACCATTTCAAATCCTTCATCAAAACAAAGAAAAATTGAAATGCATAAAGAAACACACACACACACACACACACACACAAATAAATGGTTGTGAATAGGAACACCATGTTATGTGTCCGCCTCTGTGAAAACCGTGAGACCAGAGCCTGTCAGTGTAAGTAAGTAAGGGTCATCACTACGGAGCCTTGGTTGTCCTGGACATGTCTATGCAGCCGCGAACTCACAGAGGTGCTCCTGCCTCTGCCTCCTGCGGGCTGTAACTAACGGCGTGCGCCACCACAGCAAGCCCTTTGCCGCGCCAGCCTGTTCCGTTCTTAAAGGTCCTATCGAGACATGACACGGGTCATGGCTGACAGCGGCAGTTGACTTCCTATCAAAATTGGTGGCTAATGACCTCCTAACTGAAGGGCTCTGTGTTTGGGGGCTCTGCTTATACTTCGGTGTGGTGCGCATGGCTTTGGAAGTTAAATGGGTGACGTGGTTCCCCTCCCCCCACGGCCTCCCACTCTGCAGCGGAAGTGTAACCCCCCTGTGACCCCCCCAGCGGCACACAGCCGGAAAGCAAGTGTGGCCTGACGTGCGCACGCGCCTCCTCTTCGTGAGGAACTTCGGGCCAGCGAGGATTCCGCCTGAGAGGCGCCTCTCGGCCGCTGGTCGTCATCGTTGGCGCAGCGGCCACCCGTTTGCACCCACCGCGGAGGACTGACAGGTACCGAATTTTTAGACACTCTTGAGAAATTAGTGTCCCTAGGTGTGTTGGCCGTTATTGTTTTTTAATCCCTTGAGGTACGGAGCATCCCGGTGGCCTCTAGAATTGTCACCTCAGCCGTGTGGACGTAGCATACGGCGACGCTCTCGGGCTCATGGCGGGCCCTGTGGCTAGGAGGCCGGATTCTTGATGTCCACGTTAAATTAGGGTGGTAATGGAGTCCTATGGTATGGGCTGTGGCGGGGAGGCCCGATTCTTGGTGTCCACGTTAAATTAGGGTGGCAATGGATTTGTTAGGCATGGCCTGTGGCCTGGAGGCCAGATTCTTGGTGTCTGAAATGAAGGTGACAATGGAGTTGTAGGCCATGGCCAGTGCCAGGGAGGCTGAATTCTTGGTTTTCACATTAAATTAAGGTGGCAATGGAGTCCTATGGTATGGGCTGTGGCGGGGAGTCCGGATTCTTGGTATCCACATTAAATTCGGGTGGCAATGGAGTCCGTTGGTATGGGCTGTGGCAGGTAGGCCCGAGTCTCGGTGTCTACATTAAATTAGGGTGGCATTGGAGTCCTATGGTATGGGCTGTGGCAGGTAGGCCCGATTCTTGGGGTCCACGTTAAATTAGGGTGGCCATGGGGTCCTATGGCATGGGCTGTGTTGGGAAGGCTGGATTCCTGGTTTCCACATTAAATTAGGGTGGCAATGGAGTCCTAAGCAGACAGGAAAACCACAACAGTTCATAATTGCCACTTCCTATTGCTGACAGGGCATGTTTTTTTTTTAAGTGTCCTGACTTGCCGTTATGATGGACTGGAGTTTAGAGGAGGCTTGGAAGCGGACAGATGATATTATTGAGAGTGTTCAGCAGCAACCCCCTCCACTGAAACCCACGTCTTGTGGGGAAAAATCTCTTCAGGAAAAACTGTATGACATTTATGTGGAGGAGTGTGAAAAGGAGCCAGAAGCAGAGGGCCTTCGAAGCAATGTCAACTTGCTAGAGAAGCTTATGAAGAGAGAGCCATTGCCATGTTTAGTGGTCAGCCTGTACCCAGAAAACCAGGGCTATTCTCTCATGCTCAAGGATAAAGATGGAGTCCTTATAGAGCCCTATCCAGGGCCGTATGTAGGACAGAAACTGCTTGAATATTTGGATGCTGAAGAGTTACCTTCCTTTCTGATTGATATTCTGGAAAAGTCTCCTGTGAATGTTTTTCACAGTGGCTGTGTCATAGCAGAAATCCGAGACTACAGGCAGTGTGGTGACATCTACCCTCCCGAGGAGCCTGCTGCAGAGGCTGCTGTGTTCTCTCCTGCTTGCCAAGTCCGGCATATTCTCTTACGTCCAACGATGCAGTCTCTAGTAAGCGATGTCGAGTCCATGACAAGTGACAGCAGTCAGTGGACCCAGGAAGCAAAACTGGAGCTTGAGAGCCAACTGATCTTAGCTACAGCAGAGCCACTGTGTCTGGATCCTTCTGTTGCTGTCACCTGCACGGCCAACAAATTGCTGTTTAATGAGAAGAAGATAATGATAGCCTCCATGAAAAAATCCTTCATGGGTCATGATTGGTCCTGTCTAGACCTGGAGGAAGAAAAGCATGCATGTACATCTCCTCCTGATGTTGCAACAATGATCGCTTGCAGAAAACGAGCAGAGATCAAACCAGGTGACCCATACGATCTGAAGATCCCTGAAGCAGGAAAGTGTGTAGATACATGGAAGCAGAAACCCTGTGAACTGGTGGCCCCTTCAGAGGTGGATGTGCAGAAATACGCTAAAGGGAAGCAGTCTAGGCCCCATGGCGATGACTCAGAATCCACAGCCTGGCCAGATGACTCAGAATCCACAGCCTGGCCAGATGACTCAGAATCCACAGCCTGGCCAGATCCTGAGGTAACATGTGGTTATTTATTTGATTATGAAAAGGGCTGTCATCCATGGGAAACAGAGCCAAGTGTGATGCAGTCCCTTAGTGACCCATTTTTTTCTTCTGAAATAGGGTCACCGACAGAGGGCAGATGTGATAGTCAGATGCTTCTTCCCCAAGTTGCCCTAAGTGGTTGTTTACTTGGTTCTATAGCTGGGGGAAAGATTGAGTCTGAGAAGGCAACGGATGTGTGCCAAGGGTCTGCCCAGAGCCAGGCTGAATGCCTAAGCAAAGAGCTGCAGGGATCCAATGACTCCATCTGTCTTGGCCAGCCCTCCCAAGGGATGAAGGCCAATTCCCCATCATTGACATCCCCAGTCTTAGAGACAAGAGTGAAGAGCCCAGCTCCACTGTTCACACTACCCTCCACCTCAGATAAGGGCTCTTCAGCACCCAATCCTCCCTCAATAGCAGTCAGAGGTAGGAAGTTTCCAAGACTTGCTCCTTCTCTCCAATCAGCTAGTCTTCCTCAGCAAACTTTGTGGGGAATGAGCAGTATCAATACCCTTGCTGCAGCTGTCCAGCCCTCTGCCAGCTCATCAGAAAGCCATCCAGTCACCCAGAGCCCCAGCAGTGGCACTGCCCAAAATGTTACCAATTTGTTTAGCCTAGCACAGGGATCCCCTGGTTTGAAGAGAGGTTCACCCCAGGTGCAGAGCTTCCCCACTAGTGCCCTAGCATTTACAGAAACCTCTTCCAGAGACGTTCTGTCTCCTATAGGTCAGATGCCCAGTACCCAGACCAGCACACCACAGGGCTCTGTGCAATTAATTCTAAAAAGTACTTCAGGCCCCATAGCTGTCAGGATTCCAACTGGCACTGTCATTTTTCGCCCAGAGTCACAAACACAGCAGCCACAGCAACCACACCAACAGCCACAGTCATGGCTGTATCCACAGCCAGAGCTGCAGCAGTCCCAGCAGCTCCAGCAGCTGCAGCAGCTGCAGCAGTCCCAGCAGCTCCAGCAGCTGCAGCAGCTGCAGCAGTCCCAGCAGCTCCAGCAGCTGCAGCAGCTCCAGCAGCTCCAGCAGCTGAGCAGTCCAAGCAGCTCCAGCAGCTGCAGCAGTCCCAGCAGTCCCAGCAGCTCCAGAAGCTGCAGCAATCCCAGCAGCTCCAGCAGTCCCAGCAGCTCCAGCAGCTGCAGCAGTCCCAGCAGCTGCAGCAGCTCCAGCAGTCCCAGCAGCTCCAGCAGTCCCAGCAGCTCCAGCAGCTGCAGCAGTCCCAGCAGCTGCAGCAGTCCCAGCAGCTGCAGCAGTCCCAGCAGTCCCAGCAGCTCCAGCAGCTCCAGCAGTCCCAGCAGCTCCAGCAGCTGCAGCAGTCCCAGCAGCTGCAACAGTCCCAGCAGCTCCAGCAGTCCCAGCAGCTCCAGCAGCTCCAGCAGTCCCAGCAGTCCCAGCAGTCCCAGCAGCTCCAGCAGCTGCAGCAGTCCCAGCAGTCCCAGCAGTCCCAGAAGCTCCTGCAGCAGTCCCAGAAGCTGCAACAGTCCCAGCAGCTCCAGCAGCTCCAGCAGTCCCAGCAGCTCCAGCAACTGCAGCAGTCCCAGCAGTCCCAGCAGCTGCAGCAGTCCCAGCAGTCCCAGCAGCTCCAGCAGCTGCAGCAGTCCCAGCAGGCCCAGCAGGCCCAGCAGGCCCAGCAGCCCCAGCAGCTGCAGCAGCCTCAGCAGCCCCAGCAGCCCCAACAGCCCCAGCTGCTCCAGCAGCCCCGGCATCTCTGGCAGCCTTGGCAGCCCCGGCAGCTCTGGCAGCCCTGGCAGCCCCGGCAGCCCTTGCAGCCCTGGCAGCCCCAGCAGCCACAGCAGTCCCAGAAGCCCTGGCAGCCCTGGCAGCCTCAGCAGCCACAGCAGTCCCAGCAGCTCCAGCAGCCCCAGCAGCCCCAGCAGCCCCAGCAGCCCCAGCAGCCTGAGCAGCCCCAGCCTTTGTATGTGTTCATTCCAAAACAGCATCAACTACCTAGGGCTCCTATCCCTCCAGAGCCAGCACCACAAACTTACCAGGGCAGCCAGGGAGCTAGCGTTCAGCAATGGGCAGTGCCAACTCAGCAAACTGGTCTCTTTAACCTTGCTGAGGCCAGGAGGGTTTGCCAACCTCAGACAACTGTGGTGTGCCAGGTGGGTTCTAGCCAAAGTCCTGGGCAGATCCTTCCTTCACAAAGTTTCCAGCACCCTACTGCCCAGGTACAGCAGCTATGGGCTTGGGGCCAGAATGTGCAGCTGAGATTGCTGCCACATACTGTGTCTGTGCCCAGAGCAGCCACTCAGCCTAGTCATCAGGGCCACACAGGTGGCCAGCACAGACATACAGAGAGTCGAGGTCCACCAACCACCCCAAAGTCTTAAGTCTTGCCTATACTCCCTTTCTCAATATTGCAACAATATACTTAAATTTAATAACTTAGCAATAATTGAGAGGTGTATTTGTAAATGATCATTAAAAACAAACACATTTTGCTGTTTTAACAAAAAAAAATTAGAATGAGTTTTGTCTTCAATGACTTTTTTTTTTACTCTCTCCACCAAAGACAGGGTTTTTCTGTGTAGCCCTGGCTGTCCTGGAACTCACTCTGTAGACCAGGCCAGTCTGTAATTTCTCTCATGTGCCACTTCCTTTCTTTCCTAAGAACTACATTTCTTCCCTAAGAATTGCTATGGGTGTTTTTCTGTTGCTTGTGTGTTTATCTCATGTAAATATTCCATCTATTGGGCATACATATAGCTGTGGATAGTCAGGAAGATGATTCCTGCTTAATTATATAATTCTGAAGAATAGAAATACTAAGATATCTTCCATTATTCAGACTGACATAAGAAAGTAATAGTTTTCTCAGTCACAAAGACAGCTAATTCTAGACTTCAGAGCTCTTTACCCCTGGAGACAAATATCTGGTTGCTCCTAGAGACAAATAAACAAGGACAAATTCCCAGGTGTTATTTACTGCTGATTCAAGGTCAGGCTAGAAGCAACTTTAGTAGACAAAAATTTCTCAGTACTTGACTTTTTTGCACGTAGTCCCAATTTATGTTACAGGCTCAAGGTTCAACCAACTGTTTACTTTCTGTCTGAGAACTCTCACCAAGTTAGAGCTACGTGCATGGCCAAACAGTTACTCGCTGGCCAGTTGATGTGACCTTCTTAGCCTAAGGGAAACTATGTGACTTATCTTGTGTTATGAGAATGGGTTGGGCCCTGAAAATGTAACATGTAATTGTCCAGAGTTTGGCTGTGAGAAGGAGAGCGGTGTAGGAGAGAAAACTGTGTTGAGTTATGTAGGGAGTGGCTAGAAAAAGAGCTGTGCAGGGGTACGAATGAGGGTATGTGTGCTGAAAGGGAGATGTGAGAAGAAACATGAAGGAATGTAGCTATGTGGAGAATTTATGAAGAATGTTAACTGTGTGGAGCCAAGGAAGGTGAATCTGTATAGAAATGAGATGTAGAAGAGAAACGTATGTAAGAAAGATGTGTAGCCATGGGAAAAGTGATGTAACTGTGTATTGATATGTATGACCGTGTAGGAGAGTGATATATGTATGTAAAGAGAGATATGTAGCTGTATGTAAAGAATGCAGCTGTGTGGAGACAGAGATATAAAGATGGTCTGGTGAGGTTTTTTGGGGGAAGAGCACCAACATCTGGTGTAGGTAACCTCTCATCTACACCCTGTAAGGAAGCCTAATAAACTCACTGGTTCCCCAGAGTGGCTTGTAGTGGAATAGTACCTTGGTTTGCCCCTGGACTCTAGGAGAAAGGGTAGTTGTTGGAATTTAGTAACAGTCTGTATTTAGAGAGAATGAAGCCAAGGCCAGCATTTATTTCTCTTCAGAAATCTTGGGTGACAGAAAAGGCGTGTTGAAATACAGGTGCTGTCAAAGAACATTGTCTATCATGAAGCAGAAACTCCATGTCCCAAACATGCCAGAGTGGACACCCATGATCTCCTAGTGCACTCATCTGTGAAAAACAAAAATTAGTCTCTTGGTGACTTATACAGCTGTTGAAGAACAGAGTGCCCCGACTCATATGGCCTAGATCTCAGTGTAATGTACTTCAGGCTCAGCTTGACTGCCTTTGTCCAAAGCAGGATTTAAGGAAGTGAAAAAACCCTGTTGGCAGTGAGGCCATGTTGTTTCCAGTGATACAAAAATAGCTCTCATGGGAAATAAATGATGTTCTAAGAAGGCCACCTGGAGATCATGTTTGGAATTGGACATTCTTTTTTTTAAATTTATTTATTTATTAAAGATTTCTGCCTCCTCCCCGCCACTGCCTCCCATTTCCCTCCCCCTTCCCCCCATCAAGTCCCCCTCCCCCGATCAAGTCCCCCTCCCTCATCAGCCCAAAGAGCAATCAGGGTTCCCTGACCTGTGGGAAGTCCAAGGACCACCCACCTCCATCCAGGTCTAGTAAGGTGAGCATCCAAACTGTCTAGGCTCCCCCAAAGCCAGTACGTGCAGTATGATCAAAAACCCATTGCCATTGTTCTTGAGTTCTCAGTAATCCTCATTGGGAATTGGACATTCTTTAACCAGGTACATGACTAGCTGTCCCTCCAAACCTCACTAAGGCTCCTTTAACTCTGACAATCTAAACTCTGTTTTAATTCTCCCTGGCTCCCAAACACAGGATTGCCAATTATTATGCTGTCTCTGCATCCTGACAATATGAAATCAGGATACACCACCACTTCCATAAAATTTTCCCAGAACCTCTTAACATCTGCCTAAGTCCAGCTCAAATCCCTATTCCCTTTTGTGGTGGAGGAAACATCTCTTAGGACCCCTGAAGTTATGTTTTGCTCACTGCTCACGCTACACAAAACTAATTTGGTGCGGTCTACAGGTGTGCTCCTTATGGCTTTCTATACAGGTCTTTTTTGTTGCCAGCTGCTTAGAATCATAATTGTAAAAGAAAAGTGAATAGGCGCTATTTTCAAACTTAGACATTTTCTTCTTTCCTCTTTCCTGTCTCCAATA